TTGCCTGTTTTAGTTGATGGGTTGTGTTTTTGTGGGTCGGGTCCCGACCCAACCTAAAAAAATTAAAAAATGTTAAAAAGTAAAAAAAAATATATATATATATATAAAAGTTTTATTAATTAATTAGGTGAGTTAGTTTAATTTATGATTAATGAAGTTAATTAATTTTAATCAAAATAAATTAATCATATGTATGAAAATTTAATTTGAGATAATTAGATTTATTTGATTATCTTAATTAAATATTAGTAAATGTGATTAATTAATTTTAATTAATTTTAATTAATGTTAAGTTAATTATTTAATTAGACTAGCTATCTTAATTAATTAATTCTAATTTTTAATTAACTTTAATCTTGGTCAAAGTCAAAGTATCTTTTATTTTATCTCAAGTTTTATGATTAAGCAATTCAGTCTCAAAGTTTCAAATCTTTTTAAATTAGTCTTTTATGTTTTCGAATTTAATCAAATTAGTCCCTTTAATTCTTATTTGTGCTCATGATGCATGTATGTCTTTGATTTTGTCCATTTTAGTCCAAAAATTAAAAAATGTTTCAATTTGGTTTACTCTTCTTTCAAGCTTGCTTATTAAGAGTTAAATACAAGCATAATTAATAAGTTGAATCAAAACCCCAATTTTAAAGTATGCAACCGTGTTTAAACGGAAGATTGTGAGATGCGCGCATGCTCTTCTTCACTCCTAACCGAACCCCCGAGTCTCGATTTCTGCGCAGACCTATTTTAGGTGACTTGTCCCACCTTATAATTTGGATGAGTGGCGACTCCCTTTTCTTTTATATTTTCACACTTAATCCCATTTTAAGTGGTCGTCAACAATAAGTATGGTATAGATTAGTCTAATAATAAGTCCACCTACAACTAATAACTTGGATTTTAACATTCAAATTTTACACATATTAAAGGATTAAAATACGACAATGCACCTTGAAATGATTTTCACATAATGCTGCCTTGAAGCATTACTCCATCCACTTTTATATATATCGTTGAATTGTCCTTGATTAAGGAAATTGAGCAAGAGAAGTTACAAGATAAACTCAAAGAAAATCAATGTCCTGCAAAATAGAATTAAAGCTTGCATTAACTTGATGAAATGATAAAGAATCTCTCTGAACAACTGAGGGATGAGAGGACGAAGCCCGCCTTACCAGAGAGGGCATTCTTTGTAGGGTAGCAGCTTGTAGCTGCAACTATGGGTCTATCACAGATCTTGTGAGCACCACCATTTTTCATCAAGTTGTTAGGTCTTGAAGCTACTTTGTAAGTTAATCCATTGTTAAGTAAAGCAGTAGTTAAAGCAACTGTGTTTGTGCCGTAATATTGATTGTGACTTGAGATGAATATAGAGAGAACACAATGCACATTGTTGGATCATTCATTTCTGACTCATCATACGTACCAGAAGCTTCACCTTGTGCACGAAAGGCAGTGTTAATATCAAAGCATCCAGCTCTTACTTGTTGAAAAAGAACTTGCCTAATAAGTGAAGCTTAAGCTTGGAATCTTGGATCAATCTCCTTTTAACTAATCCTGTAGTTGACTTGAAAATAGCAAAGGGTTTAATCAGATGCTGTAAGATAAAAGAAGGACAAGAACTAATTATAAGTTGGTGTTACACAGTTTCAAGGAAGCAAACACTAAAATTATGGGAAATGTGATGATAAATAAGAACAAGATGGGGGAGGGGCAAATAAGGGAACATCTGGACACTAAGTTGGACTAACTTCTTGATATCTACCTAATTTCCATGCATTGGAATCAAAATTAAGATAAAAAAATACATATATACAAATAGCTGCTAACACAAATACAAGACAAAACCAAAGTCAATTATATCATCAAAATGTATCACTTTGCAAATGATAGGTAGAGATATCATGATATATAATTCTTCAAAATATATCACTTTTTGTTCATCCTAAAATTAACACAACCAAGAGAAATAGGTAGCATGATAAAATTTTAGACAGGTTATTTGGTTACTCACAGAATATGTAGCTTGACATGGTCAAATTACAAGATTGTTTAATTTAGCAATAGTGATATCCGTTTACCAGTTCCAGCTAGCAGAAAAATCTAATTTGTACAAAGGCCAGTCCAGATGGAAAAACACCAAAAAACATGTGGCAGGAAAGGAGGGTACCATTGAGAATATCCTTCTGAATCAAAATTCAATTCTTGTTTCAAAACTCTCCCCAATTCTTCAAAATGGAAAACATGAGGTTCTGCAGTAATGAATTCAAAATTCAAATGCGTTGGCTTGCCTAAGAACCTCATTTTGCAACTTGCAAGCTCATTCGTGGTTGTGGCTTTATCAATATATTTGTGAATTCTCGTAATGCTAAGGCCAACCACTCATCCCCTTTCAAATAATCTGAAAAGCATGAGCCATTTTTGAGGCAGTTGAATGCATGTTTTCAAAGCGAAATAAATAGAATATAATGTTTTGGGCAATTTACATAGGACTTCACTTCATCATCCACAAGAATAAAAGTAAAAATAAAATAAATTCAAGGAATGAATGAAGTACTAGTAACATGGAAGAGTGGCTTGGTTTTATTTATTTTCCTCGACAATTGGTTGTAGCTAGCAGTTAGCTCTATTAGTCAACCTGCACAAAAAGGGATTTGCAACGCATGTATAAGAAAAGGTAGCACAAGTCAAAGAAAAGTGTTATAATTTTTCTAAATTCTCATATGAAAAGCATAAAACGGTGATGCTTGTTTCAGTTCACACTGGATGTTATTACCTCATCCGAATCTATCGCAACCTGGGGGATGCCACGGGTGAGAGTCCAGTAGTCTCCTTTCTCCTCAAAGCACTGTCGTTTTAGATGTGGACACCCACTGATGTGTAATACTCCAAGCGAGGGAGGAAAGGCTTCCCTTGGCAAAGATCGTAGCTCTGGGCAGTCATCTATCCGTAAGTCTTGAAGGGAGCTTAGATTTTGGAAGAGCCTCCCAGGTATGGATTTCAAATTTTCTTCATTCAAGATCTCAAGAGAGGTTATAGAAGAAGGCAGCACAATATCCAGAGGGAATTTCTGCTCAATCGTCAAGAATTCAAGAGACGTAAGGTTTTGGAGGCCCATCATCAAAGCCCCACCTGGGATTGTTAGATACTGAAGCGATGTGAGCTGGTACATTATATTTGGCACACACTTGAGATTCATACACTTGTCTAAGTAAAGCTGTGTTAAGTTTGGGGGCAAACCCCCATCTGGAATGAACTCGATGCTGGGGCAGTCTTCCATCCATAGCATTTTAAGAGATTCCAGCAAGTACGTCGTATTTGGGAGGGATTTGAAATTCTCACACTCTCCTATATGCAAACTCTTCAAATTGGGGGTGCATAACCCCAACTCTTCTGATAAGGACTCTAAAACTCCACACCCCCGAATATATAATTCAACGAGATTGTTGACGTAATCAAGGGTGGGTAAACTTTTCAACATTTTACAATTGGAAATAAAAATGGATTGGAGTCCCGTACAATGTTGCAGCATTCTCTCTGGAAATGATTTCAACTTGTCACCCCAAACTTCAAATCTCTTGAGAAAAGCTGGTAACTGATGACAACCCTCAGAAGAATACAAACATGGAACATTCCCTATTTCCAAATATATATTGTTATTATTATTGTCACCATCCCTATCTGGTAAAGACTCCAGGCCCATACAGTCTACCATTCTCAAGTATTTAAGCGTGATGGGTAATTTGCCTCTTGGAAAAGACTTGAGAGAATCACAACCACAAATTACTAACTTTTCTAGCCTCAACATCAACATACTAGTGTTGCTACTACAGCTTTCATCCATCTGCACCATCATGGCATTGGGTAATGATGTCAAGGCTCTACATTGCTCAAGGGTAAGATGTTTAAGAGTAAAAGGCAAGATGTTTTGTTCTATTTTTGCCCCTTCCTCCCACAAACAAGTAAGATCATTGCAATATCCAATATTTAGAGTCTCAAGTGCTGTTAAGGACCGTGTAAAACTCTCAGGCAAGCAAGTCAATTCTGCAATTCCCCATATTCTCAATTTAATAAGGGAGGTGAGATCAACCATGCTCTTTAAAAACTTCACACTGCAGTTTCTAACTCCCAACTCTTCAAGTGAAGAAAGGTTGCTAGGTAATTGTTTGAGCAACTTAGGACAATTTTGAATGACAAGCCTATGAAGACAAGGGAATCCACCTTCACCTCCAATTGGAGAAGTCCATTCCTTCCAATTTAACATGTTCTCAAACACCAGTTCCTCCAATGAAGGAAAAGAGACATGTCCCCCATAAAACTCAAAACCTAAAACTTCTATTGCCACCATGCCTATAACAATCAATTTTTTGAGAACAGGTAGTAGGCCAAGTGATGGTAACGAAGTGCATCTCTCACAACACCTGAGCTTTATAAATGATAAATTGATAAATAATAATGGATCACAAATCCAATTTGGGAAACTTCTGCCACCATAGCAAGAAATTTCAAGGCTTTTCAAATTTGAATGAGGTTTTAACCAGTTGAAGACTTGCATTTCAAGGACTAATTCATCTCCATCATTATCAGAAGTAGTCCACTCCAAGACTAACTCTTCCAAACCATGGAGCTTGTCTAGGTTGGCATCCCTAGCATCTTGAACATCCAAAACATTCTGCAAATCCAGAATAGATAGTCTTCCTCGAAGTTGCGACAAGTTCTTCAAATCAGATAATCTCATCATTCCACTTGCCTTCCGCACGAATAATTTGGGCAGTGTTACAAGATTTTTAAGATTGCCTATTTCTGATGGCATCTCTTCTAAAGATGATGTACCAGAAATATCAAGATGATGGAGATCAATTAAATTCCCAATCGTCGTAGGCAACTTAGTAAGCTTTCTACAACCACGAAATAATAGTGTTTGCAAGAAGAGAAGAGAACCCACTGATTCAGGTATACATTCAATACATGTACCAGACAAATCAATGTACCGAATATGTTTCAAATTTTTAAAAGAATCTGGTAGCTTGCTTATCTGATAGTTGCAAAGAGACAACACTCTTAAGCAATTCAAAGTTGGCAGCAAATCATGCAAGATTTCTTTAGACAAATAGAAGTCATCCTTGTAAGTGAGTGCTTTCAGTGGCAAGAATGTTCTCAAATGCTTCAATTTATCCAAGACTATGAATCTTTTTGAGATTTCATAAGTGTGTGGAGTGAATGACAAATGACGAGCCTTCTCTAATTTTTCATCACCCATGCTACGTTCAAGATTGCAATATATTCCTCCAGCAACATCTACAGCTAAATCATTTATGAGGTCATGCATCACAAACAACGATTTAACTCCACTTGATTGTTGAAATAGTGATCTTGATAACAAGTCCTGGAAATATTGATGACCAATCTCTTCTTCCATTTGCTTCTTTCTATGTGATTGTTGTTGTAATAGGCCCTCAGCCATCCATAACAAAACCAAGTCCTTTTTGTCAAATTCATAGTCTTTAGGGAACAAAGCACAATAAGCAAAGCATCGCTTTAAGTGAGAAGGAAGATGATTGTAGCTCAATCTAAGGGCAGGAAGAATTCCACTTCTATCTTCTGATAGACTCCATATCTCACTATTTAATATATTTTCCCACTCATCAAGACACAGCTTTCCCCGCAAGACGCCACCGAGGGTTTT